GATGGTTTCCAGCAGGAAATGTTACGCTTACATGATGCTGATGGATAAATGGTTTCCGCCAAGCACTTGAGCAGGTGTCTGGATTGCAACAGCATCTCCAGTGTTAAAACCCTTCCATATTTCCGTTATCATATTACAATGTTAGTGAATAAGATAAGATAATCACAGTGCCTCTAAATTAAGACCCAACCCTGAGACTTGCTAAAGATGTCTCAGTGATTGTCTTCCTGTGTGTGGACAGTGTCAGTGGAGTGTCAGGAAGAGGAAGTTGGGTGGGTGGCTGTGTTTTGGAGGATGCAAGTTGACAGCGGTAATGACCTCATGGGGAAATTAGAGAAACACACAGCAGGACACAAACTGTGCTGTCTCAAATAAACACACATTTGCCATTCAGTCAATCAATGTTGTCTCTGTCAATGTTGTTGACAATACTGAGTGTTAGTGGCTTTTGGATATACCGTATGAACATCTGGTTGTGGACAACAGGTCTGTTCTAAACCCTTGTGAATTTCCTTCCTAGTCAGCATTTTTAGGCATTATAGGCATGCTTCTGACAGGAAGGTAGGAAGAAACAGTATCTAGTTTTCTAAGATTATTTCTTTTGGCCTAAATTGAACACTGGACTTGAAGAAAGCTGCATTGCTACAGCCACCTTTTCCATGCTGGCAGTATGAGAATGTAAATTATAGGTGTATTCAATGCTGCAAGCAACAAACAGTTTAATCCAATCGAAACTGACTCTGTGTACATGTGTGTTTTGTTTGTTTTTATGTATTTTAGCCTATTTCTTAATATCTTAGCAATATGCTAACATCATGCTCTTTTAAAACTGGTGATGGGATTTTACTGACTCTCATTCGATTTCATTCATTAAAAATAGTGTTATTTTGTTCATTTGAGCAGCGTTAAATGCCAAATTCCCTGAACACATTCACCTACATAATCTTGATCATATTCCAAATCATGAAATCATTAGAATGCGTCCAAAGACAGTTTATGAGGACATAAATGATTACTCTACCTCCCGAGTCGTTTATTTGTTACATATGACAGACGCAATGAACAAATTGTTCATGAATGACCCATCACTAAATGACCCATGAGTGACCCATCACTAATGAAATATATCGTTGAGTATGTATTTTGTGTGTGTTTCTTCTTCTGTACAGTGTTCCAAATCAGTCACTTATGGAGTTTCATTTTTGTTATGATGTTGCCAGAAGCTAGCAGTCTATGCAAGGCAGCAGACAGTGAAGTAGCTCACTAAAGTTTGGCTTATGTTATGCCGAGTTCACACTGCACGATTCCCGATTTTTCACTTGCCGACAGGTTTTGCGAAATCTCCGACAAATGCCCGAAATCGGAAGCAAATCGGTGCTCGTTCACGCGAGTGACAATCACGCAGTGTGAATTATCAAAGACACGATCTGAGGGAATCGCCGACGCCACAACTACATCGGCGATGACCTACAGCCAATGGGAAACCAAGATACAGGGCAGAGGGAAGTTCGGGAAGGAGTTATTGACCAGAATATCAGTATTTTAATAGATATATGAACAATTATATCATACAGAAACAAGCACAAACATTTGCTTGACCAGCCACAACATCAGCATAACAGTTACTGCAAAATTATTTACCTCCAACTCTCTTTGCAGAACACCCAATCCCTGTTCCCTGCATCTCCCTCCTGCATAATCTGTTTTTCTTTTTCTCCTTGTAGCTGGAAATCAGCTCACAGACAATTTGTGGGCTATATATACAGTATATTTTTTTAATAATTCCAGTCTCGCTCGAGAACTCCGGTCTGACGCACGCGGGTTCTCACGTTATTTCCTTATCACTTCTCGTGTGTGTTTTGTTGTAAAACGTAGTTTGCGGACCAGACAGAGCTATCGGCGATTCTTCCTATTGTGAAGTCATGCAATGTGAAACCCCATGTCGCCGATCCATCGTGCAATGTGAACACAGCAGCAACTGAATGCTACCCCAGATAGTCACGCAGTGTGAAAACAACGACGATCCGACGAGTTTGAAAATCGTGCAGTGTGAACTCGGCCAAAACAGTGTTTTCCCCATTAGTGTCCCCACAAGGATAGTAATTTGGTCCCCAGCTTAGGAATCATACAGAATTACATTTTTGTGTGTACATGTGTGTGTGTTTCATCTTACACAGCATCATTCACACACATGTAGCCAATAATCTCTGGCTAATGATCAGACTGGCGAGTTTGTGACCGTGAGGTCCACGTAAAACGGCCGATGCGAGACACTCTGAGCGACAGATTTCTATTGAACGAGTAAAATATAAAGTAAAGAGTTAACTAGAATAATCAAATGTCAGAAGAATAATAATAAGACATGGACAAACAACCAATTTAATAAAATGGAGTCCGATTTAGAATTGAATTGAAATTAAATTACTTTGCGCACCAAAAAGACTGGACATGCAGGAAACCGTTAGATTCCTTCATTGGGCCAATTGAGCCTTCGCAGTGAGCTTGATTAACAATTTCAGTGGACTTGAACTTTAAAAATCGTGTGTATTGATGTGCTTCCGCGGTTGAAATAAAATCCCTTCTGATGTTCATTCATGTTTCTTTTGTGATTTAAGTAAATATGAAAAGATGATCGTTTCACGTGCCACTTTAACTGAGGCAGTACAGTGATCTGTCACAGCACATTAAAAAGCCACAAAACTGTATTTATTATTCGAATTTCTTAAAGAAATGACAAAATTTGAAAGCTGAGACTGTTTCATACCAAAAATAACCTGCTTTGTCTTGTCTGAGGGAGTGTTGTCAGTTTCCTCTTTGCTCCGCAATGTATTTTTTACTGTGTGAGAACATGGTGTGTAGTGTGAGAGCGGCATGGTTTGTCGGACATAGCAGCAGTAACTAATTTAAATGGGTGGACCTTACACACTATAATACATTTGTCTCATTAGTTAATCATAGTCAGTATGTGACATGTTTTCATATTGTCCGATCACTTCATTCATTAATACATGTCTCATCGTTGTCATCGCTCACACTCAGTCTGTCACATGTGTCAGGAAGATGTAACTGGATGAGACGCCACGCTCAACACTATAAATCTAAATGACTGTAGCACAATCTAACTTGAAGGGTGGTGTTTGTATGGAGCTGTTGACATGGACTTGGATGGATTGGAGTCATTCCCAGCTCTCCTCTGTTTGTGGGAGGCATTTGTGCCGATAATGTAGCTGATGCCGGTGACATTTAAACAAATCTCCACTCTCAGCTGTGTGTAATACAACAGATCAGCACAAGAGAACCTTCCAGCAACCTGTGAGGCCTTTTACTCTAGCAATATTTATATTTCCACTTCACTGTTTATTTCATGAGAAAGATATCATTCAACAAGTTTTAATCAGGGCAGGCGTTAACATTCTTTGATTTGTTCTATTTCTTACAATATTGCATTGATATTTAAGATCTATGCTATTTGCTATAAATATACTAGGAATTGTGTCTTTATATACAACAGTCTTTGAAAGAACGTGCTCAGAAGAATTATTCTGACTGTGCTGTAGCTTGAAGCATAGGAATAAACACGTTTAAAAACTGATTTCTCAACTGATCTCATTAAAATCCATCAGTTCCACTATTTTCGAAAACAACACAGATTGTGAATAAGAACCTGTTCTCAATTCTCCTAGTATCATTGGCACTATGAATGTAATGCTGCATCAAACAGTGAGTGTCTGGTCACACTTTATTTTAAGGTCCAATTCTCACTATTAACAAACCCTTAACTATGACGTTTTACTAATAGAATGAACTAATAAACAGCCAATATGTTAATAATTGGCATGATAATAAGCAATAGTTAATAGTGAGAATTGGTCCCTATACTGAAGTGTTACCAAATGTCTTGTTTCTTTTGTTTTGAGCCGTAATAATAGTGAGCTATTTATGATAATGTCATGCATCACAGTGTATTGAATTCAGTCGTGTCATATGATTCCTTTTTCTCTGATGCACAGCATTGTAAGTTAGCTCTGAAACAAAGCCACTATTGATTAAATATGGCTCAGGTACAGAAACCTTGGAATTGATTTCCCCAAAGCAGCAGTAGGCTACAGTGCACAGATTGATGGGGAAATTGTTTGATTTTGGAAAGCGTTTGCTCATGGGAGCAGTTCTACAAATACGATGCAGCATTTGCGTCTCCTTCAGGACTCTCAGAGCAATGTTTCATCTGAAAGAGAGTCAGAATGAATATGGCTGTAAATCCATTATTAAACTGTAAAGGATGTTTTTAAAATGTGTTTATGAATTGCTGATAAGAAGAGAGAGCCGCTGACTGCTGTAGCAATTTACAGATCTATCAGAATAGATATTACATATAACCATCCATCCATTCATTTTTCAAACTGCTTGTCCTCTGGGTTGTGATACATATTACCATAATTCAATAAATAATTATAGTATGTATGTACATATATATTTGATTAGTTAGTTGTCAAACAGCCTGACTAGCAGATTAGGGTTGATTAGTTTATCTAATTCTTTTTATCTAATTTCCTTTTTCTTCTTAAATATACATTTTGTTAATGTTTTCAAAGAGTCAGAACCATCTCAAACTTTGCTTTTATCAATCTGTCTGTGTGACCAGACATGCCAGCTGTGGTTTGACATACATAATTTATTTTGTATTTTTGTTTAACTGAATGATAACTTGGAAATATAAAGAGATGTTAACTTAATTCAGACATTTTTGAATGCTCTGGTTTATTTTATTCAATATATCTATTAATATTTAAATAAAGGTCTGTGTTAATGAATAAATAATGAAACTGGTATCTAGAATCGCAAAATTGCAATGGTATTACTTTTGATCAGTGTGAATTTGATCTGACAATAAGCACACACAAACTATGTTGTGATGTATGTATTGGTTTGATATTGATTTGAATATGAAACAAATGTGTTTATGCTTTTTAATCTAATTCCCCCTTTCTTCTCATCCACAGTGTGCTGTTTTGTGGTCCACAAAAGGTGCCATGAGTTTGTTTCATTCTCCTGTCCAGGGGCCGACAAGGGCCCTGACACAGATGTGAGTAAATGCCTTACACACACACACACACACACACACACACATGCTCACACTGCAGTCGGCATGTTCTTTGTTAAAGAGCTGTGTTTAAGATACATGTCCATTCAAGTTGTTCTGTGAAGGTGTGCTCATTAAGAATTCAGCGTAATGCTGAACAAAACCGTCTTCTCTTCTCTCTCCTCCTCCTGCTCTGTGGGGATGTGTTTGTGTGTGTGTGTCTGCTGTGAGGACAGATGCTTGCGGTTTGCCGTAGATGAGCACCGGGGGCCAGTAGTGGTAAAATATGACCTGTTGGCCCCTGCGTGTCCCCTGAGTGCTGCTTACTCAGACATCCAGAAAAACCCACACAAAGCCAGCTATGTGTGTTTTCTTTTAACCCTTCACTAGATTAGCCTCACATTAGCATCTAAACCACATTAGGAAGAAGCTTATGAGAGGTTCGTTTAAATGCTTGTTGTGGTTGTTTTAATGGGTCCTAATTGCAGCCAAGATTGAAAGTACAGGTATGAATGAGTTCAGGCAGTATGCTCATCATGACAGCTGCAAGACTAACAACACAATCCTTTCTGTTTGACTTTTGCCATTTAAGCAAGGAGTACCTTTACCTTAATCAATAGTAAATTTGTGTATCATTCATTATGTCAGGATCATGGACCTGTTTTGATATGTTTTGCCCCTGTTTCTGTTCCTGTGTTCCCTTATTTGGTCATGTTCCTGTCCTTGTTTAGTTAATTAGTCATTCTGTGCACCTGTGTTTGGTAATTGTCCTGTGTTTATAAGTTCTTGTCTGTGCATTTCTCCTCTGTCGGGTCTACTTGTTGGATGTTGTGTGTTTCTGGTGTTCCTGTTGTGGATTATTCCCTGTGATTCCTGGATTAAAGATTTTTGCTTGTATTCCACATTTCTCTCTCGGTCCTCCCACAGCGAATCGTGACACATTATTTTTAAACTTTCTCCTTTTCTTTGGATTGTTGTATAATTTAAATTGATAATTCACTCCAGAATTAAACTTATCATAATTTATTCATCCTTATGTCATTCCAAAAGTTGTGTGACTTTTCTGTGGAACACAAGAGGAGAAATTATGCAGGTTGCTCTTTTCCATGCACTGAAAAATTATACTTGAGCCGTTTAAAATAGAATAAAATAAATGGATCAATTTCAAAAGATTACTTAATCAATGATGTAGGTCAACATCATATATTTACCATAAATAGAAACTAAATAGACTAGTGATCATCAAATCCTTTTAACAGTTTATTTTACAAACTGTATTTTAAAGTTTTCTCTTTTTTCACAAAACCTTTTGCTCTCTAGAAACCATGTCAATTTCGGTTGAAAATATTTTAAGTTCAAGTGTTAGCATTATAAACACTGAATTAATACCAACATATGAAATTAAATTAACGACAGAAAAATTAAAAATGTTGGACAATAAATATATAACAGGAATGTAACAGAATCCGTGTATCATTCGTTCATTAGTTTTTTTTATTTAATATTGAAAGTCGAAAAATGAAAAAACGGCTCCTTTTAAAAAAAAAA